AATTCCCAGACGGTTACCTACGGGTGCGCTGTGAGTAACCTGCTCACTGTTAAAGATGGACACTTTAACATGTTGTTTGATTGGGAATTCAAAAGAGTTTAGGGCTTGCCGGTAATAACAGATATCAAATACTATATCAAATAAATGAACAAAGTAACATCCACACGGTACATGTTATATACCGAGAAATTAACTTTATTTTTTCTTCTAATGATGGTTCTCCTTTTTCAACACAATAATACTTTAATCAACATGAGTCGCTAACCATGGAATGTTAACAAGTTAGGACAGAGATGAAGCATTCTCAATTCCTTGATTTTTAAAAGTTTTCTTTTATTTACAGTATATTTTTAACTTTTCACCAATTAGTTAAGAAAATACACAAGTTTTTGCTAGTTTATTGTGTTAAACTCTTGGGAATTTTTCTAAATTTCATGTCAAGAAGAAATAAAATTTAAAACAACAAGATTAGCCTCTTCCTTACCCTTCTTCATGTCTTAAATGAAAACAACAAGGTTATTTTCAGGTAAATTATAATCAGTACTTTTTTACCCATTTACTATGCCTACACAATTTATTGCTATTTGCCAGATATTTGTTCCACATTAATGGCAGATTTAAAGTATCTGATTACCCTAGCTTTTGAATATAACTTTGGATTTAACGAAAGTAAATGTTGTAGTAAATGAACAAAAGAGACCTTCTAGTTTACGGTTTCATTCTCTATTAACCACGTGTTTTGATTTCCAATATCTACCAATCTCATATTTTTAGGCTCTTTGTTGGCCCAAGTGAAGTTGGTTTTGAAGATTGACAAAGGAACTTAAGCATGAACCAGGTTCATCTACAGTGTACACAGACACGGGTAAATTCAAGCACAAGGGATGCACGTGAGGGATATAAGCTTAACTTATTATATATGATATCTCCTGATAGAAATGGTTGCGTAATTGATAAGGAGAATGACTCATTACTCAAAGAGAACACTATCCAAGATTAGAAAGGAGTTAGAAGTTGAGGTTAACTAGAACTCTTCCACCAAAGAAGAGTATAGCATTGGAACTCCAGTTATTTCCTATTCTACTAACTCTATATATTACAGGATGTTCTCACTTTACAGGCACGCACAAAAGCTAAAGTTAAACGTGAGTTGAGAGCAAAATAGCAAGGCATTTTGCAAGCAATTTTTGTGTGATTCAAGTGTGCAAACCTGAAGCTACAAGAACCAGATAGAAGAACCAGTTCTAAGTGTCTGTTTTATATTCTAGTTCAATTGTAGTAGGTATTTTCAAATTGTACCTTCCATCTTTATCTAGAAGCAATTATATTAGGTACTCTAAGTATTCAAGTTAGAGTTAACTTGAAGTTGTTGTAACAGTTAGAGGTTGGTTGCCACAACGGGATTAGAGGTAATCCTTAAGTTTACAAAGAATTTTGTAAATGTTGTTTTGGCTCAGTGATTTAGTGAAGTGATTGGGGAAAATCTTATTGAGTAATAGGTCGTGATTTTTTCACATTTTGAGCCGGGTGTTTTTCACATAAAAATACTTGTGTTCTTTATTTTCCATATTTATTATTTTCGCAATAGTAGTATAAGGAACACATAGAAGAACCAGGTCCTTTTATAATCTGTGCACGTGAAAATTGAACACCATACAAATCACCCCCCTTCTTGTGTGGTATTGAAGTATAAAACACCAATTGTTATCAGAGCGGGTTATCCCTGAAGAGGCTTACACTTTAGAAGAAGATCAACATGAGTGCACCACCTGAAAACCGGGAAGGGCAATCCACTACTAAACCACCACTCTTTAATGGCCAGTACTACTCTTGGTGTAAAAACAGGATGAGAGATCACATTATAGGAGAGGAATACGAGCTATAGGACATTGTCACCGATGGTCCATTGGCTACCTTGAAGAAAAATGCTGAAGGAGTAAATGTGCCAAAGACAAGAGTTGATTACACTGCTGAAGACTTGAGTAAGTGGGAGAAGAATGCTAAAGACAAGAAATGGCTTGTTTGTGGACTTGGTCCAGATGAGTACAGTAGAATCCAAGGTTGTACTACTGCTAAGTAAATATAGAACACACTGCAAGTGGCTCATGAAGGAACACCTAAGGTGATGAGATCCATAGGAGCTCTACTGTACTCTCAATATGAGAGTTTTGCTATGAAGGAAGGAGAGACCATTCAAGAGATGTACACAAGGTTCACTACACCGACAAATAAGCTCAAATCTCTTGGAAGGATTATTTCTAAAGAAGAAAGGGTTGAAATGATATTGACTAGAGTCTTGTCTATCACTTGGGATAGCAAAATCACTGTCATCCAGGAATCAAATAATATTGCCATTCTCCCACTGGATGAATTGATTGAAAATCTCACTGCCTATGAACTTAGGAGACGGACCATGAAGATGGATGTACCTAAGAAGGAAAGAAGTTTGGCTCTCAGAATCATTGAAGTTTCCGATCTGGAAGATGATGAATGGCCATGATCACCAAAGATTTCAAGAAGTAACTAAGGAGAGGAAAGGGTTGTTCAAGAAGTAGTAGTTACAATAAATCAAAAGCTCCTGAGAAACAAACTAATGATGGCTGCTACAAGTATGGAAAGACTGATCACCACATCAAGAACTGTCATCTGTGGGAAATTGAGTGGAAGAAAGAAAGAGCTGAACGAAGGAACAAGAAGAGGGAATAGGTTCAACCCAAGAAAAGCAACAGCAAAGGATCAACAAAGGCTATGGTCGCTGCTTGGGGAGATAAATCAGACGATGATGATGATGATGAACGAGCACTTATGGCTATTGGAGAATCTGATGAAGAAGCTGAGGTAAGTGTTTCTCATCTTAATGACAAGATTAAATTTTTGTCTAAGGAAAGGTTATCTGAGTTGCTCCTAGATCTAATTGATGAATCTCAGGATGTAAACAATGAAAAGGAACATCTGTCAAAAGAATGCGTAGTTTTAAAAGCTAAGTGCAAAAACCTGGAACTTAGGGCTAGTGAAACTGAAAGTGAAAATGTTGTATTGAAGAACCAGATTCATGAACTTGACACTACTGTCCTATAGCTTAGATCTGAAAATCTAAAATTGAAATTAGGAACAGGTAAAAAGACAGTTGATCACACACAACTCCCTCTAGAAGAAAATGTAGGAAAAATAAAAGATAAGTTATACAAAAGAGATGAGCAGATAAGAATTTTAAAGGAGGATCTAAGCAAGGTCAAGCATGAGCTAGACAAAACCTGTAAATGGAACAGGTCCTCCGATGCACTTTCATAGCTACAAGAACACCATAGTAGCAACAAAAGAGGACTTGGCTTTGGGATCCCTGCACCTAAGTGGGATTCCAAAAGCAAGTACCTTACACTTCCTAAGAACAAAATTTGCACACACTGTGGTAAAACTAGTCACTATAAAAGTGAATGCACTGCAAAAGAAAAGGCAAGTCAAAAGAATAAAAAATTTGTTAAAGGGAAAAAATAGGCTGCCAAGTTGGGCTAAAAAGAATTTGATTCATCCTTTTGCCCATAGAAAGGAACCCAAACTAGATTGTATTCCTAAGACTAACCCATGATTTCCTTTTGCAGGTCCAAGTGAAGGGGAGCAGCCAAATATGGTACATGGATAGTGGCTGCTCAAAGCATATGACAGGAAGCAAGAACCAGTTTCTTTCACTTGAGGACCTTAAAGGAGGTAATGTCTCCTTTGAAAATGGGAAGAAAGGTGAGATTATTGGGGTTGGCAAGGTAGGTAAGACTGACTCTCACTCTATTTAGAATGTCTACCTGATTGATAGACTGAAGTACAGTCTAATAAGTATATCACAATTGTGTGATAGAAGTAACATGGTTGCATTCACCTCTACAAAATGCTTTATGACTAATTTTATCACTGACAAGATAGTTTTGAAGGGAAAAAGAGTGAACAACATATATATTGTAGATTTGTCCACACTATCAGATAATGAACTCACTTGCTTAAGTGTGTTGGATAATGATCCCTTCCTTTGGCACAAAAGACTTGGACATGCCAGTATAAGTCAACTCAACAAACTAGTCTCCAAGGACTTGGTGATAGGATTGCCTAACATTAAGTTCAAGAAAGATAAAGTTTGTGAGGCTTGTGCAAGGGGGAAGCATGTAAGATCCTCTTTCAAAAGCAAGAAAATGGTAAGTACCACCAAAACGATAGAATTGGTCCATATGGATCTTTGTGGACCGATGAGAACATTGAGCAGAGGTTGTAAGAGATATGTTATGATGCTTGTTGATGATTACTCTAGGTTTACATGGACATTGTTTTTAACATCCAAAGATGAAGCATTTAACATGTTCACTTCTTTTGTTAGAAAAACTCAGAAATAACTAGGTAATCAACTTGCATCAATTAGGTCTGATCATGGTACTGAATTTAAAAATACTAAATTTGCTGAATTTTGTGATAAGCATGGCATAGATCATAATTTTTCTGCTCCTAGGTGCACTAGAGGAAGAAACAGGTGATGGAACAGGTTCTTCTACCCGGGGCAACCTGATAGGGGGAGCTGAACAAAGAAGAACTGATCCTCAAACCTTGAGGGAACCTGTCCATGAACATGTTCCTCACCAACAAAACATTGAAGGAACATCTAGGGGAAACCAACTGGTTGTGAAACCTTACAAGTACCAAAGTTCTCATCCAATTGAGAACATAATTACTGATCCAACCTCTTGAATCAAAACTAGATCTTCTTTGAAGAATCTTTGTGCTTTTGATGCTTTTCTCACTACAAAAAAATACTAAATTTGCGGAGGTTTTATTGTGGCAGTTACTATAACCTCCGCAATCTTTATCAAATTGTGGGGGGTTATTCACCCCGCAGATATATTATATTTACGGCGGTCAGTAACCTCCGCCACCCTTAAAAAAAAATAGCGCCCACTAACCCTAATGTTTCACTCATCTTTTATTCCTTTATCTCTTCTTTTTTTCCAAACCCTTTTCTCATTTTGAGCTACTCTTCTCTCTCCCCCTCGCTCATTTTCAGCTTCAAATTAAAAAAAAAACCTTTCATTTTCAGAAACCCTCTTTCATTTTCAGGTACAAATGAAAGAGATATGTAAAGGAGAACATGTGAAATAGTTTTCTACAATCAATCTTCAGATCTATGGTAATTCCTCTTCCCCATTTTTTGATTTTGTTTTTTTTGTCTTTCCTTCTTCTTGCATGTGGGTTTTAAATTTATTTTCTATGTTAATTTGTGTTTTTCCTTTATTGATTTCTTCTCTTTCTTTCATCTTGATGTTTTTCGATTCTCAACAGAAAGTAGCAGAAATTTGATAGAATCGGTGTATTTTGAAGAAGGATATAACACTTTTTGTTGAAATCGAGATATAAGTCCTCTTTCTCCTTTTGCATTAGGTATTATAGGTTGTAAAATTTAGTTTTTTGTATATTTTGTAGGTTAATTTTTATGATATGGGTCTTAATTGAAATATTTCCTTTTGCATATGTATTTTAGAACTCCTGGGGACCTTCAGAGAAGACGCAATTGTCACTGGCTGCTTTTCCTCTTTCTGCTCTGCGTTGTGCTTGAATCAATCTCAAGGTACTATGTTAGGACTGTTCAAAGAGCACAACTAAAGTATAAACAAATTTTTAGTTTTCTTCGTAGTGTTGAATATTAATTTTTTTCTTTCCAGATTCAAATTGGTTTTGTTGTAGATGTGCTTTATGTGTTTGAAAACTATTTTCTGGAGTTGCGATTTGGTTGGTGATGTTTACAAGTATGCAGTTTTCGAAATGTGTTATTTCTGGGATTTAGAATTCAACCTATTTGATTGTCAATAAGCTCTATTAATTTTTTGGAAATTCCATTAGTTGCTGGCAAGATAATCTTCTTCTCATTAAAGTTTGTGCACCCTTATAGAGCTCCAAACAACATTATTTTAATTTTATACCTGCTTGAGCATGTAGATGATTGAATATTAATTGCAGTTATTTCAGTCTCTTGTGATTTCTACACTGCATCTGGCTTTATGATGCATCTACAGAATTCTACTTCATAACTAAGTAATTAGAACTATGCTACCGAAATTATTTGGCACTTGTAGAGTTGAAATATGATATATAAATCATTTGGTGCTTTGAGTAAAGAATGGGTTTATGAACTACCATGAATTCTTAGCCTTATTACCACTTATTTGTTTTGAAGCTTCAATATTTGTTCTCAGCTTTTATGAATTTGCTGCGTCAAATTCTCAGCTCATAAAACTTATTATATTTTCACACACACACACACACAAAATTCACATCAACTGCTAGTCTGCATTTATTTACACATATAGCAGTCCAAGCTAATAGTTTAGACTCTGAAGTTAATTACTCATGATTAATTAATGGCAAGGAGAATAGCAGTAGCAAGTATATTTTGCCCAGTGATGATGTTTGTGTCCCCATTGGAATATCTTACAAATTCCATATTTACCTCCAAATCAGTGCTTGAAATGTTGGCTACATTTGTGAGATAGTGGCAAGGCCCATGCCATTTTGTGATTTTTCTTCCAACAATATTTTCCTTCTGCCATTTGCATCTCTGCATGAGTAGGAAAGGTATAATTGCAAAAGATGATATACTGTTTGTGTAAAAAAAGACACTTTCTTGAGACATTCTGAACTTCAAAATTATATATATCACGGTAACTTTATGATTTCCATCTTATTCTTTAACAAATATTTCTTGTGCCATTTTTTATTATCTTACAAAATTTTATAATGTTGTTGCGTTGTTAGGTTACTAAATCATCCTTTCTCATGGAACTATTGTAGGTTACAGTAAACACTCTTGCTCAGAGAAATCCTTATCGGTGGCACACTAATCTAATTGTAGATCAGTTTCACTTCTGAAACGTTATATATCAATACCTTCCAATGGATAAATCTTGGATTGAAATGCCTAGAAATACAACAACGTATTTACTTGGTTTGAATCAATTTCTAAATTTTGCATTTGAGAATGCTTCTATAGGAGATAGAATAAAATGTTTGTGTCCTAAATGTGGTTTTGGGAAGTGGCAGACTAGAGAGATGGTGTACGGTCATTTGATTAGCAAGTCATTCCCTCAAAATTATGTCACTTGGATTCTTCATGGGGAAACAGAAGTGTTGGAGAAATCTAGAAGCACAGAGGTTATCCCAGATGCACTGCCTCTTGAAAATCCTATGGAATTGTTGATAAATGAAGCATTCCCGGGTTTAAGGCATGAGGGCATTGATGCAGGTCCGTCACAACTAGTTGGAGAAGAAGAAATATTAAATGATCTGTTTTCTTCAAATAACAAAGACTTTTTTGAGTTGCTTAGAGATGGAAGTGAAGAATTATATGAAGGGTCCAAGTACTCGAAGCTTGAATTTTTGATAAAGTTGTATCACATAAAGTGTTTGTCTGGGCTAAGTGACAAGGAATGACTTTGATGCTAGATTTACTGAAGGATGCATTTGGATTTGCAAGGATACCTAATTCTTTTTATGAGGCCAAGAATACCATCAAAAAGCTTTGTCTTGATTATATCAAGATAGATGCTTGTCCAAACGATTGCATGTTGTACTGGGGAGATGATGCTAATGAGGAAACATGCAAGCATTATCATACTTGTAGATGGAAGCCAACTAAGAAGAGCAACAATAATCACATGTCTACTATGGGAAATAAGAAAAAGAAGCAAAATATGCCCGCAAAGTTTTTAGCTAGTGATGGTTTCAATCCTTTTGGGATGATGAGTACTAATTATAGCATTTGGCCATTGATTTTGGTTCCATACAACCTTCCACCTTGGTTGTGTATGAAGCAACCAAATTTAGACGTTATGCACATTGAGAAGAATGTGTTTGATAATATTATATACTCTTTGCTACATGAAAAAGGCAAGTCAAAGGATCATGTTAAGGCTCGAAAAGATCTACAAGATATGGGTATAAGGCGTGATCTTTGGCCAGATGAGAATGAGAATTGTCGGCTTGCTTCATTTGCAATACCAACAAATAAAAGAGTCGACTTTCTCAAAACTTTAAAAAATATCTCGGTGCCGGATGGTTACTCAAGTAAGATCTCTCGTTGTGTTGATCTAGATAAAAAGAGGATATTTTGACTAAAAAGCCATGATTGTCATATCATTATGGAACAATTGTTGCCCATAGCAATTCAAAATGTGCTTCCAAATCATGTTGTTGCAGTCTTGGTAGAGCTTTCATCCTTTTTTAGACAACTTTGTTCGAAAAGCTTGAGCCTCTCGGACCTAGAAAAGCTACAAGATCGGATTGTACTCACACTTTGCCATTTATAGATGTTGTTCCCTACATCCTTTTTTACTGTAATGGTTTATTTAACTGTCCATCTAGTGGATGAAGTAATACAAGGTTGAACGGTACATTATCGGTGGATGTATTTTGTTGAAAGGTAAAACATTACTTATTCAACATAATTTCAATCAATCTTATAATAGTAATTCAAAGTAAGTACTTATTCTAATACCCTTTTATTTTGGTTATAGATTATTAGGTCCCTTATAGGGAATAAAGCACAACCAGAAGGTTCATAGCTGAGGTTTACATTGTTGAAGAAACCCTAACTTTTTTTTCTTGTTGTTTTGAGGATATTGAGTCGAGGGTAAATAGGCCTAAACGTGTAAATGATGGACCAAATCTTAATGAGGCTTCTGAAATGTCGTCTATATTCCCTACACAAGGTAAACCTGTCGGAGGTAATGAAACATTCACCTTGACTCAACTAGAGAAGACTCAAGCTCATCGATATGTGTTACTTATTTGTGCAGCAGTAAAGCCGTTTATTATGTAAGAAAAATAAATTAATTTAATTTTTTACAAAAACTTTGAGTGAAGTGATTAAAATTGATACAAGTAGTGAATTTAGGGATTACATAAGAAGGAGTTCAAGAGGCTGGAGACCTTCGGCAACCGAAGTAGAAAGGAGAGTTAATAAAGAGTTTCCTGATTGGTTTCCAAAGCGAGTGAGTGAAAATGCTTGTCTATGCTTAATTAACTTTCTTGTTTTAATTTTGAATATTTGACAAAAAGAATTTTGTCTATTTAGATTATGAATCCGGATATAGCAAACACAATCTCTACTGATTTGGAGTTTCTAGCACAAGGTCCATGTCCAGATGCGAGAAGGTTCACTGCTTATAACATTAATGGATTCAAATTTCGGACATTGTCTAGAGAACAAGGATCACAAACTCAAAATAGTGGAGTTTTTCTTACCTCTGACACCTCTTTTATTGCATCCGACGCTGACAGAAATGCGAGGCAAGCAGACTTGCCATATTATGGGAAGTTGGAAGATATTATTGAGCTTAATTATTATGGTCAGCTTAAGGTTGTGCTCTTCAAATGCGAGTGGGCTGACACTGTTATTCTTCTGTATTGCTGTAATAAACAATTAAACTTTCCGAAAAAATAAAATAGAAAGTTAGTAATACTTGTTTAACGAAATAGATTCTGGAAAATAAATTAAAAAAATAGTATAGGAATAAATCGAGCCCACTGAATACACAGTGTGTCCTTAAGGAAATTATTCCCCTCAAGTACCCGAGGTGCTGGAATATATCTTCCCAGGATAAAATGATTTAACTCACCAGTGTATTGGTACCAAAACTCTGATGAACTGCGAACCACTCAATGGTCGTAAAACACACTGGAAAAGATTGTGCAGAAGAAGAAAAAGCTTAGAAAATTTCGTAAGGAAAGATTCTGGGTTTCAAACTCTATTTATAGAGTTGATGGCAATGTTTCTGAAAAGGTTTGCAACCTTTCAGAAACAACTATGGTTGTTGAAAAGGGGTATTTGAAATATTGCGGGAAAAATATATTTAAAATAATCCGGAAAAGAAAACGGGCCTGACCGAACCGGGTCGCGGGTCATGGGTTATTCCAGATTAAATTTTTTGTTAATTATTTAATTAATTAAATAATTGAAAAGAATTTTATCCAAAAAGATTAATCGAATCCGAGGCCGAGCCGAGCGACGACGACGGCGCGAGGCTTGCCTTTTTCTTAACTCTTTAAGAGCTAGAAGAAGAGCAATTATATATATACCCATCAAAAGCCTTTTCTTCCTCCGATATGGGACAATGTCCATTTCCAAAGGAAAACTCAAATATTTCATTTTCCCTCCATTTCTCATTCACCTTCTTTAAGCTACACAAGCTTAAAATTCCAACAGACACTACTCGAGATAGAGGGTTCAAAAGAGATGCTTGGAATTTTAACTGTGTTAATTTTTCTAGATTGATTCACACTGGTGATCGTGAGGAGCATGATCCTTATATTGAAGCATCTCAAGAAAATATGGTGTACTATGTTAATGATAAAACTGATGAAGGATGGAGTGTGGCGATACATTTAAAGCCAAGAGATTTGTTTGATATGGGATAGGTGGATGAAAGAGAAATATACGAGAATGAGCCATTCCAACAACAAGAATTTGAACAATTTTTTGATGTTAATTATGAAAATGTTCAACTTGCAATAGAGGAGCATATGTTTGAATAGGAATTAGGCCAGTCCTTAAGTTTTCCTCCAGTTCTTCATGGTGAGTATTTTTCATCCCTTTGAGAGTCAAAGAAATATCATTATATTTAATTTTATATCATTATAGAATTTGCATCAGATTTGCATTTACTTGCCATGTTTTAGTTCTGGAGATGAGTATGTCTTTCTTATTCAAGTTTAACAGGATGCATGTGTGAATTGTTTCTTCTTAAATTATTCGACTTTTCTTCTACTAATTTTGTGAACTCCTGCTTTTCTTTTATTGCTTGCAGGTATGATACACCACATCTGACTTCATTTATTCAACCGATAACACGACCAACACCTTCAGGTCAGGTTGCAGCAAATCCGAATTTGTCAGATCAGACAACAACACAGCAGGTTCCATCAGTCCGGGCCGCGTCACAACACCCACCATCTAGAAAGCGTAGTGGACGTGTGTCTACGCAACATTGAACTGTAGATGCAATAGATATGTTATTGCCATTCATTTATACATTCTGCCTATTTTACGCTGCAACTAACAATCTGTTACCTCAAAGAATAGAGAACCTATGCTTAATGCTTCTCATCACTTTACATTCGTTATCAAACCTCTTGCATCCTTCCTCATTTTGCAAATTTAGAAGGTATTTCTCCTTCTAAATTGTAGGAGAGATTAATTCTTTTAAGGTACTGAAGCTTTTCTAAAGACTTAGGGATATTGCCTGATAACTCATTTGATTGTTACTTTAGAATAGATTGAGGCATGACTTTGATGTGAATGTTTTGAAAGAAGTAAGAGTAGCAACAATTTCAGATCAATCTATTTATCTTCGATTTCTCTTATTTTGACACTATTTGAATGATAAACTAGCTAGTGTCTCTGATGTTTTTTTTAATCTTCATTAATTTACTGCGTGCCTCAATCAAATGCTGCTTTTCTAACATAGCTAGTGGGATATATGTTACAAAATGATTTATGTATGCTTACAGTAGATAATTTTTACACTGTAATAATTTAACCTATTGTAGTAGTCTCCTCTAGTTTCTAAGTAACTCGTTCTACTTATTGCCATTCATTTATACATTCTGCCTATTTTACGCCGCACCTAATAATCTGTTGCCTCAAAGAATAGAGAACCGCATTGATTTTTGTTTTTATCTTTTAAGATTCACAAGGAGCTAGCAAGATACTTAAAGTGAAGAAAAGGGACGTGTTAAATTTATCTAATGGAGAACATATTGTGGTTGATTTTGACGACACGGATTCTCCCATTGGTTAAGGACAAGGCGTTCTTGCAGGCTTTTGTGGAATTTTAGCAACTAACTGCTCCATTTTTCCAATTCACTGAGAGAAATGGCCGGATTTACCTGTGACAATCTTCAACCGTTGTTATGATCGATTTATAAAGGTATTCCTGAGGCATACAATATCTCTGTTTTATGTCATTAGATATTATATTTGCATGTAATAATTATCTAACCATTGGTTTATTTTTAAAGCCACAATTTTGTTTTAGGACAACTGAGTCAAATGCGAGACGATATGTTTATAATTCTATGTGTAAGAAGTGGGGCGCAAAAAGGCTATAGTTGTTTGATAAGGTCTATGATCCACTTAAGAGCAGAGCTGAGATAATGGATAGCGTTCCACTGGGAATTCCACCGGATCAATGGATTTCTTATGTTGATTACCGCTTTAAAGAAAAGACACAGGTATTTATTTTAACGCTTCAATTAGTATGTGTAATTATATGGCTATTTGTTTGTATAAGAGGTTGAACCTTCGGAGGTTCCATAAGAGGTTGCCTTATGCCTATTATTATTCTGTAAAGAGAGACTGTATCTAACAAAAATGGAAGTTGTTCTACAAACAAAAGGGCTTCTTTCTTTGCTTTCAAACCCCAAAACCAGAGCATTTTACCTATTACATCAAGCGGGTTTAAGGCACAGATTCAATTCTTTTAATTCTTTCTCTATATTTATCTTCTGATGAGTTCCAAAAATTTCAAGGCTTTGCTAAAAAGCCACAATTGGTTAGTCAAAAGAACAGATTTTTTCCCGTTTACAAAGGAGAGGCTGCCGCTGCAGCTGATGGGGTACCTCTTTTGGGAGAAAATGAGTCACCTAATTCATGGGAATTGAACTTGTGACTCTCAAGAAAATTATTCCACTGTGTTTATAAATCAAGTAGGAACTGATAAATCTTGGCATGCTGTTGTAAGCCTGACAGTTTCCAGGCTTAAAATTTTCCTGATCTCCAAAGTACAATATGTTGGTTTATTTTTGTTAAAACGCTCTTCCTTCTCTTGGCATCATTTGTGCCTTTGTTCTTTTGTTAAACAGATATTATGGTTTTACAAGTATACAATAGGCAAGTATGTGTAATTCGTGGTATCTTTTTGTAAGGAAACTTGTAAAAGAAATGCTGAAATTCGGAAGAAACAAATTGTTTCACATATCGGTAGCTCCAAACCTAACTCCAGAAGAAGGGCTGAAATGGTATTAATTCATTTTGAATACTTTAATTAAACTAGCAACTATTCTTAGTTAGTTAAGTTAATGCGACTTTAACTTTTTCATTTATAGATGGCTGAGACTGGACAAAAGCCTGGACGAGGACAGCTTTATCTCGCTACACATAGGAATGAAGATGGATCATATGTTAATGAGGCGGCAAAAGAGATATGTGTAAGTTTTTAATTTCTTCCATCAAATTTGCAATCATTTAGTACCTAGTAATAAGTGATTGGTTCTAAAATATGTTGTAACAAGCAATATGCAGGTGTATGTCTTTTCTCTGATTTCTTGATCCGTGACTGATGATAGGCAGCAAATTATAGGCGTTATATCGAGTTCTTGACTTAAGCTTGATTAACTCTTTTTTTTTTCTCCTACTTGGTTTTCACCCTTTAATTTATCATTTGTTAGATAGATTAAAAGCTTGATTATCATTTGGTTTAAAACATGTGACAGCAGTACTTTATAAGTCCTTGAAAAACTTAAAAAGGTGAAATGTTTTCAAAAAGAAGGAATCTATCAATTGGTTTATGTCGAATAGAAAAATAGGTCTATGTAAGGAAAAGTAGGAAAGGTCTACTACATTTTGGAAGTGCTTTCTTATTTTCTTTTGACACTCATTTTCAGAAGCATCTGAATCTTACCAAAGTTTTAGATGAAAACTTTAGGCCGTGAAGATATTTTTGTTACTGCAAATTGTATTTTCATGTGATATTTACCAATGTGTTGCTTTTGTCATATCTGTATGACAACTATGCACGCGCTAGATTTATGGAAAAAGTTTCATCTTTACCAAATCTGCCTGTGTATTAAAATTTCCAGTAAACATCTTATCTGTTTCTAATTTAAGAGTTTAGTCATGAGTATTGGAACAACTGTTGTTACTAGTTGTTATCCGTTAGGATTAGTCCTTATCTTTAATGCTTACCTTAGATTAGATATAGATTTAGAATTCTACTTTCAGTTCATATTTATCATTTAGTTAGTTAGCTTTTGATAGTGTTTTGATTTGAATAAGTCATCTAATTCAAGGAGTACTCTTAGGAAGACTTGTATTTAAATTGAGCTTGGCATTCAATATAGATACAGTTTTTTTCATCATATCTTTGAGTCTTTATATGGTATCTGAGCCTATATAACTCTAACGAGCACGATCCTAATTTTTTTCCCACCAAATCCTCCAATGACGAAAGATGGAACCACTCCCAGAGTTGTCAATGCCGACAACACTACTAGTACTACAACCATTGTTCAATTCAACCCCGCTTCCCAACTACCTATCAAACTTAGTGGCAGTCACAATTTTACCACTTGGAAAGCTCAGTTCTCCATGCTTATGCACGGCCATGACCTCTATGGTCAACTTGATGGGTCCACTCTGATTCCCACCCCGAGCACCACTTTTGGCACGAACAAACTTCCAACTCTGCTTATACACTTTGGTTCCGTCAGGATCAACTCATCCAGAATGCCCTTATGGCGTCTGTTGACTCGACCATTGCCTCCACAGTTGCTGCTGCCAGCACATCCAAAAATGCTTGGGGACTCCCTGCACACTGCTTATGCAAACAAGTCCCAAACTCGGATCTTTAGTCTTCGTGATCAACTTGCACGAATCACCAAAGACACCATTCCCATTACTGAGTACCTTCACGTATTCGGTCCCTTTCAGATGAACTTGCTACTGCATGTGCCCCGGTCACTAACTCCGAACTTATCGTCAAAATCCTAAGTGGACTTGGCCCTGAGTTTCGTGAGATTTCGGCTACCATACGAGCACGTGACACCACAGTCACCTATGAGGAATTATATGAAAAGCTTCTTGACCATGAGCTCTTTATCCGTCATGAGGAAAACAAGAAAACCAATAGTCCTATCACAGCAGCAATTGCCACTCACAACAAACCGAACAACAATCGCAACAATTGCCGCTAATCTTAGAATAACAATTCTCAACCATGGCGACAGAACACCCGCCCCAATACATCTACCCAGTGGCAACCCCTACACAATAACACAACAGGTGTTATTCGTTGTCAACTATACAACAAGATTGGCCATGTTGCAAAATGTATGCCGATCCAAGTCACACAACCACTTTGAGGCCAAAGCCAATCACATCACAGGCTTCAACACCACTGCTAACCCGTGGATAGTCGACTCTGGTGCCACACACCACATCACAACTGAACCTCATAACCTACAGCCGTACCACGGCAACGAGGATGTCTCCATGGGTGATGGTAACAAAATTTTCATCTCACATATCGGCTCTACTCAGTTAAATGCATCAAATAATATTTTTAAGCTAATTCACACTCTATGTGCTCCAGCTATTAAACGCAATTTTATTTCTGTTTCCAAATTCTGTCAGGACAATTAACGTCTGTTGAATTTTTTCCTTTCTCTTTTCTTGTGAAGGATCTGAAAATGCGGACACCGTTGGCACGCGGCCGAACCAAAAATGGACTATATGAGTGGCCCACTTCACATCCACAAGCTCACATATCTGCCACTGCAACTTTCTTAACCACTTGGCACCAAAGACTGGGGCATCCGCACTCTAGAGCTCTTACATGTTTCCTGAATAAATTCTCGCTTTCGTTTGTTGAGCGAGACAAGTTTCTTTATTGTAATTCTTGTTTGTCTAATAAAGCGTATCGGCACCCGTTTCACCAATTAACTCTGAAAAGCTCTAAACCTCTTCAAATTATTTTTAGTGATCTATGGGGGGCCTCTCCTGTGTTATCTATTGAAAAAAAATTATACTATTGTATTTTTGTTGATCAATACACGAGATATACTTGGCTCTACACACTTAAAAAATAAATCTGAAGTCAAAGCAATTTTTCAAAAATTCCATCCTTTGATAGAAAAATATTTCGATACCAAAATTTTATCGCTTTATACTGATGGTGGAGGAGAGTATAAAAGTCTTGACTCTTATCTATTGCCTCACGGTATCGAACATCTTTCCACCCCACCCTATACGCCTCAAAAAGTTGCTCTTGCTGAGCGAAGACATCGCCACATTATTGAAACTGCTAGAACACTCTTATATGAGGCGTCTCTCCCATCACTTTTTTGGTCCTTCGCATGTCACCATGCAGTTTATCTAATTAACCGACTACCTACACCACTTTTAAATAATAATTCTCCGTTTGAAAAATTATTTGGAAAGGCACCTGACTACGCTTCTCTACGAATTTTTTGTTGTTTATGTTATCCATGTCTTAAACCATACTCCAAAAATAAACTTGAACCAAAATCCACCCCATGTGTTTATCTCGAGTTTTCCCTGTCCCATCACTGCTACCAGTGCTTTGATCCAATCTCGTCAAAAATTTATCTATCCCGAGATGTGCAATTTGTTGAGAATAATTTTCCATTCAAAAATTTATTCTCCAATTTTGCAATTAAACCAACTCACCTTGAATGGGCAAATACTACAATTATTGATTCACCCAACCCCACACCTAATGTTTCTGTTATTTCAAATTTGCTCCAGCCCATTAAAATACTAAATGACCCCCCAGTTGCAAAACATTAGTTACCCACGACTTCTCCTCACCCTGCCCAAACAGTACCACCTCTCCAGTCGTCCATCTCCGGTGCGCCAGCGGCAGAAGCGGGTTTGGACTCTCCACAGACTTCTACTCAAGGTAATCCTCACTCTTCTCCTTCTTCTATAATTCCCATTGCCCAGGACTTTATTTCCCATGTCCATCTTCTCTGAATTCCTCTCCCACTTCCCGTCACCCGCCACTCCCCAACACCCATATAAATGCACCAAGTTCCAAATTCAGAGCATCACAAACCTCTCTCTCCCCCCCCCCCTCTTGTGNCTATTTCCCCATGTCCATCTTTTCCAAATTCCTCTTCCAATACCAGTCACCCGCTACTCCCCAAGACCCATATAAATGCACCAAGTCCTAAATTCGGAGCATCACAAACCTCTCCCTCCCCTTCTAATGTATCATCGTAGAACACCCCAATCGAAAACCATGGCCCCTCCCCATGCTTCCTCTGTTCGAATTGACAACTGCCAAGAGGCACCACCAGNGAATCGACAACTGCCAAGCGGCTCCACCAGTTGAACCCACAGTGACACAATGCCCTTCCCCTCCCAATCGCATAATCACTCGTTCTCAGAATAATATTCAGAAACCAAAAAGAATTTTTGACTATCTTGCTCACTTAGAAACCCCACTTGTACCGCATACCTTCAAACAAGCCGAGCAACACCCTGAGTAAAAGAAAGCTATGAAACTAGAATTTGATGCTTTACTTAATAACCGTATTTGGGAACTAGTTCCAAATGATCCTTCTAAAAATTTTGTTTCGTGTAAGTGGCTTTTCAGAATTAAAAGAAAAGCAGACGGGTTTGTTGATCGCTACAAAGCGAGATTGGTTGCCAAAGGATTTACTCAGAGGTCGGGTGTTGTTTTTCACTCGACTTTCAGTCCGGTAGTCAAATCCACCACTGTCTGAATCATACTTGTTGTTGCCCTCCGGTTTCATTGGCCTCTTCGCCAACTCGACGTCAACAATGCCTTTCTTCAAGGTGACCTTAAAGGATAGGTTTACATGACGCAACCTTCGGGCTTTGCCTGTGACAATAATCCGACTCATAATTGTAAGTTGCGCAAGGCTGTTTATGGCCTGAAGCAAGCACCTAGAGCCTAGTATAATGCACTCAAAGGCCATCTTCTCTACATGGGATTTGTCAAGACCGAATATGATAACTCCTTATTCGTTAGGATAAGCAATGCTGGCTTCACGTTCATTCTAGTATATGTCGACGACATCATCGTTATGGGCAGCAATCCTATCACTGTGAATGAGGTTATAGCTTCTCTTGCCTCTCGCTTTTCACTTAAAGATTTGGGAAACCTTCATTATTTTCTTGGTGTTGAGGTGATTCGAAGTTCTGATGACATTATTCTCTCTCAAGCAAATTATGTCAATGAAATTTTAAGTGTTGAATTGATGTCTGATTGCAAAAGTGCTAAAACACCAACGAGTAATTCCGAGTTACTCAAACTCAATGATGGGGCTCAACTTACAGATGCAACTCTTTATTGCCGAGTCTTAGGGAAACTTCAATATTTTTCCTTTACATGGCCGGACATTTCCTATGCGGTTAACAAATTGTCCCAGTTTATGCAATCACCATCGGACTTACATTGGAAAGCTGTGAAACTTGTTCTCAGGTATCTTCATGGTACAATCCAGTTTGGCCTACGTGTGTCTCCATTCTGTTTCTTGATCGAAATCCCACCAGTTGGTCTTCAAAAAAACAGAAAATTGTAGCCCGCTCATCAACTGAAGCTGAATATAGAGTTGTTGCCAATGCTCTTGCCGAGTTACTGTGGGTGAGAAACCTATTGCTTGAGATGAAGCTCCCTGTCAGAAATACCCCTACAATCTACTATGACAACATTGGTATCACTTACCTAAGCGAGAATCCACGCCTTCACAGTCGCATGAAGCATGTGGAGGTGGACTTTCACTTTGTGCGTAACCATGTTGAACAAAAGGTGGTTCAGGTTGTTCATGTGCATTCTGCTGACCAGCTCGCTGATATGCTCACCAAACCACTTGCCAAACCAGCCTTTGACCGAAATTTGTTCAAGTTAGGCTTAGTGACCCATCACCTAACTTGAGGGGGCGTATTGGAACAACTGTTGTTACCAGTTGTTATCCGTTAGGATTAGTCCTTATCTTTAATGCTTACCTTATATTAGATATAGATTTAGAGTTCTACTTTCAATTCATATTTATCATTTAGTTAGTTAGCTTTTGATAGTGTTTTGATTTGAATAAGTCTCCTAATTCAAGGAGTATTCTTAGGAAGACTTGTATTTAAACTGAGCTTGGCATTCAATATAGATACAGTTTTCCATCATATCTTTGAGTCTTTATAATGAGAAGCTGGTAAGTATGATAAATTTGCTGTTGTAATTGATACAAAGAAAAAGATATTCTTCTTCTCTTGTTTTTCTTTTTTAATAACTTATCAATCACTGATTGAAGGTAGGACACTGACTTTTGGTGTGTAATGTATTTAGGAAAAAATTGAACTAGAATTGAGCCAAAGCACCGTGGATGAGTCTGAAATTTTGCCAAATGATGCCGTTGGTAAGGTGCTGGGAAAAGAGCATTCTGGAAGGGTAAGGTGCTTGGGATTAGGAGCTGTTCCTGGCAGAGATTTTAGACAAACAAGACATCGTTATAGTGATTTGAATGCTTCAAGTTATAATAATGGTTCATGTTCTTCCCAATGGCAAGAGAAGTACAATCAGATGTTGAATGCTCACAATCAAATCCAAGAGAACTACAGAGAAATGATGAATGCTTTTAAGGCGTATATGATAATGAAAGAAGGGAGGATACCTGAAGAATTTGCAGGGATCTTTGTTTCTCCTCCTCATTCAACGGTAAGAAAAGTTCATAACTTTCTTATTTAATTTTGAAAGTGTGCTTGATCAGTCCAAATGTGACTCTGAATTAAGAAAGAAGAAAACTTTTGTGCTATGTGGTGTTTGACTCTTTTTCTCACTTTCTTCACTCCTATATCTACACATGCATTCTCATTTTGTTGTCAGTGTGCTTTTTTTTTTTCCCACTTTCAGTTTGTGCTTAGCTGCTGCTCTCTCCAAATGTTAAGTTTTTGTGAGGTTTTGATTTTAAGTTTTGAGCTTTAGATTCTTCTTCAAAAGCTAAGTCACATAAGCTAAGTAGCTTATGTAATTACAAAAGCTAAGTTTTTGTAAGGTTCTGTTGCTAACTTAATTTGCTTCCTTGAATGGTCTGTGATATAAATACATATGCTTTCTATGAATAATACCAAATGTGTAAGTACTGAAAAACTGAAATGTATTGAAATGTATTAAAATTGCAAACTAAATTTGTAGTCATTATTCTTTATCACAGAGCCAGAAATATAGTAGTTTAATTCCCTCAGAACTCAGAACAATAAACATGCATGTTATACACAGTACAACAACATATGAGGCTTTCATCCAATAGTCATCAGTGGCTATGATAAGTATAGCTCACCTAACACATGAACGTACTAAGCATCAGAATCCTCCACCTTCCCTCGATTCTGATGTTGCTAGATTTTGACCTTCAATTTTGAGATTTGAATCACCATTTTGTCTATTATCTTTGCAGTTATCGTGTCCCATCTTTTTCTTCTGTTTCCCAACCCATCTTTTCGTAACTTTGTCTACAAATTCCTATCAATGCAATACTCCCAGATTTGATTCTTCAGGTGTCTTGTGCAGTTTATGGTATTGTGGTTTCTAGGATTAGAGGAAACTTTCTTGGTGTTCTGGATGAAATCTTTTTTTTTAAAATAAAAAATTCCCCTTAAAATTAACCATAAAGTTTGTTAAATATTTAAAGAAAATCTAAAGTGCTCAGTTTGAAAAACTATTTGCAACTGAATCATTTAACACACAATAGCTTTCAGTTCATACGGAGTAATTAAAGATGGCTACAGTGCCACCATTAGCAGAGCTAAACTTTGTTGTGATACCTTTACTTTCAACAATAAACGTACTATGTATTCGGATCATAGAAGTTACTGATACTTGACTGAAGCTAAGTGATTATTAATTAAGATATTGTTGAGGTACTTTTTGTTAATTATATTTTATTTTGATTTTTTTGTAGTCAAGTGATGCGGCTAGCTGATCCATTTCACCCATGGATGTAAGAAGATCATTTGGTGGAAGTAATCCTAACAACAACCATTGAAATTGCTTGCAAATGTATCGTACTCTGATTGAATGGTCATAGTGATCTTTTGTCCATAATAGTTGGAGTAGATGTTCTGTTTAAAGTTAGTTTTAAGACTAACTATAATATTGATGTTTTGTGCTTAATGGATGGATTAGTTGTGTTTAAAGCAAGTTTTTGAGACTAATGATAATTTACTTTAATGTATTTTATGGTTTATTAATATATTGATGTTACTTGATTCTAGTAAGCAAATTATATAATCTGATGATGCTTCATTATATTAACATAATTGAAATCGGATCAGTTATGGGTAACAATTGCCAAAAAAAAAATCAATGAATAGCGGAGGTTATAACTGCTGCAATTTAATGTACAACAATATTGTGTTAAAACTTGCGGGGGTTAAATAAAAATATTGTAGAGGTTTTGACTGCCGCTTATTTTTTATAAGTGGGTTCTTAAAAAGTCAAAATATTGAATTGCGGAGGTTAGACCGATGCTAAATACCCGTCGCTATATGATAACGACGGTCTCCCAAAAAACCCCACGCAAATTGATTGCGGAAAACATTATTGCGGGTTTTTTGAAAATCGTCGTAACAGCATATTGCGGAGGTTTCTGACCGCCGCAATATGTAAATAAAACCGCCGCAAATTTAGCGCTTTTTGTAGTTCTCTTATTGAACCTAAAACTGTTGTTGAGGCTTTGCATGATGCAGACCGGGTAAATACAATGCAAGATAAACTCAACCAATTTGAGAGAAGTCAAGTTTGGCATCTGGTACCAAGACCCAAGGACATATCAGTTATAGGCACAAAATGGGTCTTCAGAAACAAACTTGATGAGATGGAACAGTTATAAGGAACAAGGCAAGATTTGATTGCGGCGAACATTATTGCGGGGGTTTTGGAAACCACCGTAACAACATATTGCAAAGGTTTCTGACCGCCGCAATATGTAAATAAAACCTCCGCAAATATAGCACTTTTTTGTAGTGTCTATCTCTTATTGAACCTAAAAATGTTGTTGAGGCTTTGCATGATGCAGACTGGGTGAATGCAATGCAAGATTAACTCAACCAATTTGAGAGAAGTCAAGTTTGGCATCCGGTACCAAGACCCAAGGACTGATCAGTAATAGGCACAAAATGGGTCTTCAGAAACAAACTTGATGAAGATGGAACAGTTACAAGGAACAAGGCAAGATTAGTAGTTCAAAGATATAGTCAAGAAGAGGGCATAGACTATGATGAGACCTTTGCTCCAGTTACAAGATTGGAAGCAATTAGACTCCTTATAGCCTTTGATACTTACATGGAATTCACTCTCCATCATATGGATGTCAAGAGTGCCTTCCTCAATAGCTATCTAAAGGAAGAAGTGTTTGTCAAGCAACCTCCGGGATTTGAAAGCAAGGAATGTCCTGATCATGTGTACAAGCTTGGCAAGGCACTTTATGGGCTCAAGCAGGCTCCAAGAGCATGGTATGAAATACTATCAAAATTCTTGCTTGAGCATGACTACAAGAGAGGTAAAATTGACAATACTTTATTCTTGAAAGAAAAAGGTAAAGATCTCTTGGTAGTTCAGATATATGTTGATGATATAATCTTTGGAGCAACTACTAATAAGTTAAGTAAAGAGTTTGCTAAAATAATGGGGAGTGAATTTGAAATGAGTATGATGGGTGAGATTAATTTCTTTTTAGGCTTACAAGTTAAACAAAACTCAAATGGAACTATGATCCATCAGCAGAAGTATGTGAAACAGTTGCTTAAAAGATTTAAAATGGAAGATTCCAAAGAAATTGATACTCCTATAGCAACAGCCACAAAATTGGATATAGATGAACCTGGTTCATCTATTGATCAGAAGTTGTATAGTGGAATGATTGGTTCTTTGTTATATCTCACTGCCAGCAAACCTGATATTGTTTTTAGTATAGGCCTTTGTGCTCAATTTCAGACAAATTCAAAGGAGTCTCACTTGACTGTTGTCAAGAGAATCTTGAGATACTTGAAAGGCACCACTTACCTTTGTCTATGGTATCCAAAAGGTAGTAATTTTAACTTAGTGGGATATGATGATGTTGATTATGCAGGTTTTCTTATGGATAAAAATAGCACCTCAGGTATGGCACACTTTCTTGGCGCATGTCTTGTGTCTTGGGCTACCAAAAAGTAAAATTATCTGGCCTTATCTACTGTTGAAGCTGAGTATGTTAATGTTGCCTCATGTTGTGCTGAATTGTTGTGGATCAAACAATAATTAATGGATTTTGGAATTGATGTAGGTTGTATCCCTATATTCTGTGATAACACTAGTGCAATTAGTATGACCAAGAACCCGGTTCATCATAAGAGAACTAAGCACAAAGATGTTAGGCATCACTTTTTGAGGGACAACTATGAGAAGGGTTTGATCACTGTAGAATTGTGTTCTACTGACAAGCAAATATCTGACATATTCACAAAAGCTCAAAGTAGAGATCACTTTGAAAGGAACAAGTTAGAATTAGGGATGATTAAGATCACCTAAAAGGAACGAGTTCTAACTCAAAAATTGGTTAGAAAATTATGAATTTTTGTACATAATTAGATTAGATTTTTCTTAGTCTCATACTTTCATAAGTATACTCTTGTGCCATGTGCTAAAATGACTCATTAATCTCTAATGATATTATCTCTATTTTCTTGGAAAATTCAGACTTACACAAGAGATTTCTCAGTGAAGAACCTGGTTCATCAAGATTACTTGGTATGTATTCTCCACTATGCATATTTTGGATAATTATATTTGGATCATGATTAGTAGAAGAGTACCATTTAATCCCAAACCCCTTTGAACTTATCCGTTATAAAATGAACCAGTTTCGTTCAAAAGGAGTCCAAAACCGCATTAAGTGCGTAGATTCTAGGGACACTCTTTAATATCTTTTCAAACTGAATTTCTATTTGATTAGACTTCTGAAAGGTTGTGGTTACCCAATTAGGCACCCCCTTATTAAATTTATTAGTCCTAGTGTTTCTTCACTTCAAATTTTCAAGCCATCAAAATACTCTCCATCTTCTCTGATCTTCCAAAAACACTCAAACTCATCTTTTCTTATACGTAAGCACAGAAATGGCTAACCCTTCTGAGAATCCCTCATCATTACCCAAGAAAACCTCACCCACACCATCTACTAGACCTTCAACTATTCCCATATCTAAGAAAGGAAGGGTAAAAATGATGGCTCGCAAGGTTATCGCTGGCGTAGAGAAAATCAAGAAAATAAATGAAAAATTAAAAGCGAGTAGGGAAGAAGAACCCCAGAAATTTGATGAGTCATTCAAGTCTGCAACTGAGAGGGAAGAAACTGTTTCTTCTGAGACAGAGCAGGTAACATCTGGCCTAAAAGTTACTCCTGAAATTATCTTTGAAGTTGCTACAAATCTAGAAACTAGGTTTGTTCTAGTAGGAACTGTGGCTGGTGTTGAAACAACTGACTCTGGAAATATTGGTGGTAAAAATGTAAAGAGTAAATAAAAAGAGAGAGAGGGTGATCAAAGTGCTGTGAGGCGAATGGGAAAAGGAGTAGCTGAATTTTCAGCACTCTTGTTGGTTTAACTAAAGAATCAGGTGATATGGTAGTTTAGAATAAGGAATCTGCTGGAGAAGAAGAGAGTGTGAGAGAAATAGAGGGAAGTGGATCTGGAGAAGCTGCTGAGGGGTTGGTTCAATTAGGGAAAGATGCTCAAGAACATGTTCCATCTGAGCAGGAAACCCTCGCAGACTTACTGAGAAAGGTATCTGACAATTACAATCCTAAAAGGAAAAGGAGATTATGAGTGAAAGTTCCTGGTACTGCTAGGGCAAACAGGAAAAGAAAGGATGCTTCGTCTATCCCTGTAAAGACTCCTCCTACAAGAGGAAGAGCTACAAGGAGTCAGAAGAAGCAAAGTGAGGTTGAGCTGGAAAAAGCCTTAGAAGAAAGTAAGAAAAAAGCTGGTGCTAAGGGAAAGAAGAAGATGGTTGAGCATGTTGAGGCAGTTGCAATTGATGAGATGGACCTGGTACTTCGGGATGAAGATGAGACATAAGAAGTGAGTGTTGTGACTCCAAAGGCTAAGTAAGTCAAGACTTCCACAAAGAAGTCTGATTCAAAGACAAAGTCTGCTGAGCCATCTACTCTGCTAAAAGAACTAGGTCTGCATTGAAATCAAGAAAAGTGAAAATAGTGGAGGAAGAAGAATGGAATGGAGAAGAAGAAGAAGAATCTGATGTTGAGAAGGACAAGATGGTTATGTTTGGGAAGAGAACCATCTTGAAAGGTAGACTCCTCAGGGATTTGGAGGAGGAAAGGATGTTAATGTTGTTGGAGAAGATACAGTTGCAAGGTTGGAAGGACATGGTCCTTCAGATGGATGGAAAGCTGGCCAGAACTGAGATTGTGGAGTTCATGGCGAATTGTGAGATCAAAGATTGTAAGGTCACCAGTGTGGTCAAGGGGGTGACAGTGAGTTTTATGATAAATAACTAGGAGAAATCTTAGGTATACCTGCTGAAGGGTACAATGATTATAAGAAGCTCAAATGGCCAATTCTAGAGGATCTCCCTGCTACCCTTGCCATTACTAGGAAGTTTGGTGACAATGAAGAGGAGTTTGAGCCCAAGGCTATTTACAAAAGTGAGATGAAGCCACCCCACAAAGTGTTGTTCGAATTTATTAACAAAGTTGTGCTTCCAAGGCAGGAAAGGAAGCACATTGCCACATCTATGGACCTAGTTCTTATGGAATGTTTGGATAGTGGGAGGTAAATCAATTGGCCTCGATTTATCATCCAGGTTCTTGGCAGGGTTCTAAATGGAACCAAAACTCACGTCATACCCTATGGTTTTATTCTCACGGCTGTACTTGCACACTTCAAGGTACCCATCAAGAAATGGGAAGTTGGTACAAGCAAAGATTATTTTAGGGCAAACACTCTAACTACTTGTGACAATAAAGTCCAAACCACTGCCAAAGAACCCGGTTCATCCAAAACGGTACCAATAAACAGCAAAGTACGAGCTTTGATGCAAGAAAGTGGGGCTAAGGATGATGAGATTGATAGGCTGAAGTTGAGACTGAGAGAGATGCTCTCAGAGCTGAGCTGGCAAAAAGAAGGAGAAGAATGATGGCATT